CGTCCGAGTATCAGTGAAGGTATACCACATATCAAAATCAAAATTTCATTGAGTTTGGAAGAAAGCCAAAAACCCATGAGAGGTGTGCGGTGTGTGGGGACCGTTGTATTGTACTCCTGCCTTTGATAAAAATATCATAATATCAACAAATAAACACTTGAGTTGTCAAATTTTATTGTTCATTGGGATATCGAATGTCGGCGACAGACGCACTCGGATATTACCGATATTACACAGGACCAAACTAATTGGGTTTTTGAAGTGAAACTTCTAGCTGGCCGGAGGAATAATATTTGGACGAGAATGGAGAGTGATAAGAAAGACGCGTCAAGTTTTGGTAAATTTCGTTACACTAGAGGGAAGATTAGGAAGAAAGATGTAACGTAGAGAGGCGGAGAAAGACAGCCAATGACAATGACGCCGACGAATAATTGACACAAACCAATAAGGATTATAGGCAAGGAGGATTGTCTATTATTGTCAAGCGCCGATACCCCTGTTACGTCACTACAGATGGGCGTCTCCCTTTTATGTGGTCTTTCTTTCCTGTTCACCAAAACTCATTCGCTAAGTCTCAAATTCCAAAAAATTGTATTCTATCCCAACGCTCTTGATTTTGTACTTTAGAGGGGAGTAGGGCGGCGAAAATTGTCTGGGCACACAGGCGGATAACACCCTAGCTGCGGCCCTGAGTAGAAAGAAGATATGGAATATGAGTTTTGCTTCATTCAATTGATTCCAGAATGAGATAGCGCTAGTAAGGGCAAGAAATCTATTGGATCTCCCATATCTCTAACTCTAATCCTGAGTGAGATTGCGTTAGTAAGGGCAAGAAAATCTCATAGATCTCTCTTGTTTTCTCACTCTAATGTTGGCCGTAAATGTTTGTATTGAGTAGATAGGCAAAGGGCTATTCCAACCATCTTACTACTTCAAGTTAGAAAGACGCGTCACGTTTTGCCAAATTTCGTTACACGAGAGAGAAGAAAAATATAACGTAGAGGGACGGAGAAAGACAGCAAATAACAATGACAGCCGATAAACGATTGACACAAACCAAGGATTATAAGCAAAGAGGATTACCTATTATTGTCAAGCGTCAATACCTTTGTTTCGTCACTACAGATGCGCATTGCGCGTCTTCATTCTGTGTGGTCCTTCGTCTTCACCACGACTCATACACACTAAGATGTGTATGAGCGTGGGATAGTTTTTAAGAAGTTTCATCTCTACCACGTGTACGGCGCTGCACATGTTTTTTTTTTTTAAGTGAAACTTCTTAGGCGGCGTTCTGATGTTTGCACGACAATGGAGAGTGATTTGAAAAACGCGTCAGGGGGAAAATTTCGTTACTCCATGAGAGAAGAAGGATATAACGTAAAGAGACGGAGAAAGACAGCTATTAGGTCTGTTCGCACAGAAATCACCAACCAGTTAGAGCGAATTTCATTAGTTGAAAATAGTCAGAAACAGAAAACTTAAATAGAAAGAATTTTTTTTTTTTTGTTTCAGGTAATGACCAACCAGTGGCGGTTCCTCCATAAGAGCACATGTGCACGTGCACTCCCAAATTAATATCAAACAACTTTAAATTTAATTTTATCATTCTTCAAATTTTAACAATCTACCTGTAAAGTATTAATTTAAAAAATTAGTGGCCAAATGCGCCAGCAAAACAAACGCAACCGGCATTTATTATGAATTACAAATTATGTGCACCCCCAATATGTTATACCACGAGCCGCCACTGTGACCAACGTGAAAACAGGGACACTATACGGTCCCTGTTTGGGAATCGACCCACTGAGCAGTGAATTCAGGCTTCCCGTGCCAATCCTTGACGCGTTTCGTCCTTCTTAGGACTCATCAGAAGGATATGATCGATTTTGGAACAGATAACGAAAAATTGGATATCTCCATGTTGTTCAGAAATAGTTTTGGTATGAAAAATTGTTCTTGTGCAATCCCAATGGATATAGAACATCATTATATGGAAATAGTATCGAGTATATGAGAAACCGCGGTGAAATGCACTATTACCGCACGGAACCCAGAACCTAAAAATATAGAACGGATCAGATTCTGACCTAATTCCGAGCTAGTCTGATTTGGAACTAATTCAGGATTGCTCTGGAGTTCCAGTAATTCATTATTGGTTCAAGACAAACAATGAACCATTTTTTTTAATAGCTCTATTTTACAGTGATCGATTTTGGAACAGGAAACGAAAAATTGCAAATCAAATTCCCATGTTTCAATAATTAATTTGCAATCGACGATAGCTCTGTTCCAACCGACATAAGAACCGTTCTAGACCGGTAATTTCCAGTCGATCAATTCATTTGTCAAGTAGGATAAACGTTCAACTTATTAAAAAATGGGTGGGCAACTGGAAAATAATGGTTCTGGAATGGTTCTCATGTCAGTTAGAACAGAGCTGACGCTATCTATACTAGGGCAATGTGTTATTATTTTACTCGCACATGTCCGAAAGAAAAAAAATCTCACTCGGATTGCTACTGGGGCTAGTGCAGCAAAGATAATACACATTATTATCATAGGATAGCCTATTCTTATAAGGCCCACCTGGAACAAATCTGAAGCCCTACACCACGCCAAATCACCAATTGTGACGCAGTGTGACAGCATGTCCTTTCTCACATTGCCGTAGGCAAGGATGATACATATACTACTACTACAGGATAGGGCCTATCCTAATAAGGCCTGTGTGGAATAAATCTGAAGCGTGATGACGTCGGAAAGGCTGATAAGCAATCCTTAGTAGGTATAAAGTATTTTACAAATGTGGGAAGTGTTACCTTATCGCACGCAACAACAAGCGGTCAAGCTGTTAAGGGCAGTAAAGGCTTTTTCCGCATGTATCAGTTACAAAATTTCACTTAGGGCCAAATTATGGACCAACTGGTAAGTGTCTGGATGATACCTAGCAGGTACTTTCTATTCTCTAGTGCTAGGTAACAACCAGACGTTTATCAGTCAATCCATAATTTGGCCCTTGAGGCGGTTATTATAAAACTATTTTGACAGATAACAAAAAGTTAACTTGTGGAATTACTATGGGAAGTAACGTCATTCCACAAGTTAACTTTTAATTTAACTGTCAAAATAGTTCTATAATACCCACTCTTATACGAGCATCTGCATCTCCATAAATACCATAGCATACTTTACCGCATACTATATACACTATACAGTCTACTTTAAGGCACACTATGTAGTAAAGTGGCTTTACCTCATGATGTGCGATAAAGTGCTACTTTCTACTTGTAAATTGCAAATAAGTGCGGTAAAGTTCAGTTTTCGTACGCTCGTGGGTGGATAACTGCATATTTCATTCAAGAAAACAAAAATTCAAGTGCCTGGAATAGAGAAAAATTGACATAAAGGGGAATTAACCACTGTATAAAGATACAGAGTGATAAATATTCTACTAATTCCCGGCTCGTGTATAGGAAATCTTAAATGAAAGCCGGCAATCGAAAACAATTTCACCACTATGTAAAGATACAGGGTGGTCAATATATATTTTATTATCCCTGGCTTTTAATGTAGAAAATCTCTCACAATTTTGCCCACTGTAATTTAACTTAACAAAAATAAGCCACTGTATAAAGATACAGAGTTATCAATATTTTATATCATTCCCAAAACAATTTTGCCCTCTGTAATTTGACTCAACAAAAATAAGCCACTGTAAAAAGATACAGAGTGATAAATATTTTATTATTCCCGGCTCTTGTAGGAAATCTTTGACAAACGCCGGTAATCGAAAAAAAATATATTCTACCACTGTATAAAGATACAGGGTGGTCAATATTTTATTGTCCCTAGCCCTGGGGCCTTATTCTGTAAGGAACGAACCGTTCGATTCGGTAAAATTTCTTTGATTGTGACGTCATTTTCAGTTTGGTTTTCGCGCTACCAAACCGAAAATGACGTCACAATCGAAGAAATTCTACCGAATCAAACGGTTCCTTCCTTACAGAATAAGGCCCCCTGGGCTGAGACTCTGTAACGGATAGAGATCGTTATACCTGTCGCTATGGCACTTGCTGTCTTCTTCTCTCTTTTCGAAATCAATAGAGAGGAGACGTCAATAGAGACAGAGAAATATTTTTATTTGTTACAGAGTCCCACCCCTGGGCTAGAACTCTGTAATGAATAGAGATCGTTATCCCTATCGCTATGGCTACAGTGGCTAAAATAAACCTTCACATACAGTGGCGACAATAGAGGTCCCGCCGCCATCTTGCTCCCAACCTCTTGTTACTTTTAAATATTAATATATAGGATTTAAATGAACATCTATCATAAGAAATTGAAATGGACGTATTTGATGACCATTATTAGGTCCATCAAATACGTCGTTTTCCATGATTTATGATGATTGTTCACCTAAAAAACATATATTCATATTTAAAAGCAACAAGGGGTTGGGAACAAGATGGCGGTGTTTTCAATATAAATATATGGGACAGCAATTGTCGCCACTGTGGGTTATAGAGTCACTGTAGCTATGGCCAAAGAGCTATGGCACTTTCTGTCTTCTTCTCTCTTTTTCGAAATCAATAGAGAGGGGATAGAGAAAATATCTCTATTCGTTACAGAGTCCCAGCCTTGGTTCGTAATGTAGAAAATCTCCCACGAGAGCCGGTAATAAAAAACAATTTTGCCCACTGTGATTTGACTTAACAAAACTATACATATAAAGATACAAAGCGATCAATATTTTATCATTCCCGGCTCTTGTAGGAAATCTTTCACGAAAGCCAGTAATCGAAAACAATTCTACCACTGTATAAAGATACAGGGTGGTTAATAATTTAATATACTTGGCTCTTAATATAAAAAATCTTCCACGACAGCCGGTAATATAAAACTATTCTACCCAAAGAGAAAATTTAAGACAAATTTATGTTGGGCAGAAATGAATTGCTGAAATTGCTAGTTGGGTAGAGGGTTAAAAGTATAATACAACGAAGTATAAAACCAACATTTATTAAATGCATACAATAAAAATAATCACATAAAAATAAAATACTGTATTATATTTGGTAAATCAAAACTAAGGATTATTGGCCGTTTTCGAAATTCTTCGAGATCTCTTCAAACGTTTTTCCCAACGTTTCCGGCAAATACACGTACAAAAACGCCAATCCTACAGTATTAATAACGCCGACAATTATAAATAAGTGAGCCAAAGAAGCTATTTCTAAAAGAAACGGAAATATTTTCACAACCACAAACATGAGAAAATAGGCAACTGATACGAGGATTCCGCCGAGCTTTCCACGAACTTTTACGGGCAAAAGCTCACCAATCAAAGTCCACGGAATAACTAAATATCCAAAGGAACTAAAACAAACATAGCCCAATACCAAGACAATAGCAATATTATCTTTTTCCTGAATTGGTTCCATAATAATGGCTTCTTCATTAAACATAGTGCCATGATTTTGTTTAAAATACAAATAAAACCCACATCCTAAACTAGTAAAAATCATCCCTATACAACAAATAAACATTAGAACCCTTCTGCCAAGCTTCCTGGATATAACAGCCGAAATTATAGCAACCACAAATCTGATACCCCCCAAAATAATCAGAGCCCCAAAACCATCCAGCTTGTCAGCAGATTTTCCGCTGATTTCCCTGAATATGTCCACGGCATAGAAAATGATGACGTAGGCTCCAGACAGTTGTTGAAATAGAAACAGCACAATTAAAATTATAAGAGGCTTCCAAACGATTGGGTCTTTGTAGATGTTTAGTTTTTGTTTTATTTGTAATAGTTTTGATTTTTCTGAGTTTTCGTCTGTTGAATCAGGTGAGGCCAGTCTTCTGCTTTCTAGGACTCCTCTATAAGCGTTTTCGGCAATCTAGAAATATGTTAGTATAGTAAGAAATAAAAAAGAAAAATTCATTAAACAAGAATAGTGTAGCAAGTAGGCAAATAGGAAAACAATTTCTTACCAATTTGTTGCTGTAAAGCCACTTAAGTGATATGGCACTTCCAAGAGTATCATCTCTGAAAACTGTCAGCCAGTAAGGACTTTCCGGTATCCAGCACAATCCTATGGCCGAGGCAAGGGCGAGGCAAAAGAAAACTTTAGACATTATTCGCCAATCAAACCAAAAACCTTCAATAAACATTGTAAAATAAACTTTTGCAAATTAAAAATTAAATTTTAACTCACCTAAAACACAGGTTATCAATATTCCTAGCGTAACAAATACGCTGTTTAAAGACAACAGCATGGCTCTATATTTCGGATGGCATATTTCGCTCACATAAACCAATGCAACTGTTGTTAATCCTGCAATAATACGATGTTAGTTTATTTTCAAAACAGATAAATGAATAGCCAAAAAATGGGATAATAAAGATCAAAAAGTTCCCAATGAACACATCTGTGATATTTACGTAAAGTTTATATAAATTTGAGTTAGTTTCAGGCCAAGTTTATGTAAATAGCGGGGGTAAAAAGAAAATAAAACTTCCTAAAGTTATTCCAGTTCCCATAGTTCCACTCAACTCAATATTTGCTGGACTTAGTGCTTTGGGAGCACTAAGTGGGGGAGCTGCAAGTATCACGAAAAAGTGGAAAGCTATTTGACATAAATGATTCAATTTGGTTTTATATCAAAGAGCATTTAATTTTGATTAAGAATATATAAATATGCATGAGAATTTGTAGAATATCAAAAGAGCTATGAGCTATTTTGTGAGGCAATGTCGGGTGGTCAAAATTTTTCAGGACAGAAATGCTAAACTTTTTTGCATAATAATATGGTGACATCAATGCGATATAAATTTTATATCTACTTACTTGAGCATGACATTAAAAACTTAGAAATTGTATAATTGGGTAAAGTTTTCTTACGTAAATTTCTACTTTAAATTTATGTACTCAGCAACTTTGAGTGAGTTTACTGAGTTCTGAGTTCTATTTGCGAAAATAGGAAGCATCTTAAGTTGGAAGTAGGTACATTATTGATTTAGAATTTAGATTCAATCTGAATAATATACTTATATTTGTTTTTACCTCCGCCAAATCCTGCAATTATCCTGGCAATGTAAATGCACCAAACGTTGAAAGCAAACGCGTGAAGACCCCAAGATAATAGAAATGGAATCGTGGTGAGGATGCTGATTCTTTTCCGTCCGAATTTGTCCATCAATGGACCTATGCACAAGGATCCTAGAGGCGTGGATATGGTGACAATGCTGGCTAAAAGAAACATTTAACTATTTAGTTACAATGTTTCAAGTTTTCCAAGTAGGGAGTAGGTAATTCACTCTATTTTGAGAGTGACCTTTTTTTATGAAAGAAGAATGGCAATATTGTTATCTACAACTATGAATTATCCGAACATTTTGCCTTCTAGCAATATACTAGGCTTATTTGGAGAAAATTAAAAATTATCCAGGGCCAATAGGTATACATATCAACAACCAAATTGAATAACGGTTTCTTGTTAACTATTGTTTTTTTTTATAATATTGTAACAAATTGTATAGATAAAACAGTAATAATTAGGTATAAGTATCCTACATTCAAGTTCAAGCTTAACTATTATATAGGTACATTTTTCCGATATTATTGAAAAATGCATTGTAGAGGACGTACTAATGACGCGTTCAAAGTCTTTTCGGATTACAGCTTGTGATTTTTTTGAAATTCCAATAATTGGATTTGACTTTTATTTAAAATGGCGCGAAAATATTCGGTTAAAAAACAGCATATTCTGGGTCCCTCTCAACACCGAAGAAGTTCCAAAAAAAAGATAAAGTTGATGAGGCAAGTAAATAGTTTTGTGTTGTTTTTATCTAATCATAGTGAAAAACCAATAAATCCTTACCAATCCAAGATGCTGCTACTTTATCAATAACAATGTTACTGTTTTCTTCTTTAAGTTGGGGCAGTAGAACTGCACTAAAGGCCATATTTATTCCAGGCTGTATTACTAGAGTATGAGCAATGCAACATGCTAAAAACTAAAATAATTTTTCTTATTACATGCCAATTTTTGTGAATTCTCTTTAAAAAAGAAACTAAAATTCAAAAGCTAGAAATAATAGACTAAAACTTGAGACAGAGAAATTTACTGTTAGACAACATTGTTTTTCTATTCCAGGCTCTCGTATTTTTGAATAGGTAGGTAGAGGTATCCCTTGTTTATTGAAGTTCAGACGAATATAAGAATTCAAGAGCCAGACAATAGACAAAAATTGAAACAGAGAATTTCAGAAATGAAGACAAAATTAAGGCAAATTGATAAGACGTCAGACAAGTATTAGGCTCTCATATTTTCTCAATTTTTCTTGATTTAAACAAGTTTAGAACAAAGCCAAAATTCAAGAGCCAGGAATAGACAACATTGTTTTTCTATTCCAGGCTCTCGTATTTTTGAATAGGTAGGTAGAGGTATCCTTGTTTATTGAAGTTTAGACGGAGAGCCAGACAATAGACAAAAGTTGAAACAGAGATCTTCAGAAATGAAGACAAAATTAAGGCAAATTGATAAGACGTCAGACAAGTATTAGGCTCTCATATTTTCTCAATTTTTCTTGATTTAAACAAGTTTAGAACAAAGCCAAAATTCAAGAGCCAGGAATAGACAACATTGTCTTTCTATTCCAGGCTCTCGTATTTTTGAATAGGTAGGTAGAGGTATCCCTTTGTTTATTGAAGTTTAGACGAATATAAGAATTCAAGAGCCAGACAAGAGACAAAAATTGAAATAGAGAATTTCAGAAATGAAGACAAAATTAAGGCAAATTGATAAGACGTCAGACAAGTATTAGGCTCTCATATTTTCTTAATTTTTCTTGATTTAAACAAGTTTAGAACAAAGCCAAAATTCAAGAGCCAGGAATAGACAACATTGTTTTTCTATTCCAGGCTCTCGTATTTTTGAATAGGTAGGTAGAGGTATCCCTTGTTTATTGAAGTTCAGACGAATATAAGAATTCAAGAGCCAGACAATAGACAAAAATTGAAACAGAGAATTTCAGAAATGAAGACAAAATTAAGGCAAATTGATAAGACGTCAGACAAGTATTAGGCTCTCATATTTTCTTAATTTTTCTTGATTTAAACAAGTTTAGAACAAAACCAAAATTCAAGAGCCAGGAATAGACAAAACTTGAGAAAAATTTAAAGCAAATTGATAAAAAACTATTAGACAATGTATGAAATTACCTGTTTTATGCAATCCTTCCATGGCACAGCTAAACTTTCTTCTTCTTTTGAGGCAATTTCCACACGTTTTTCCTCAACAAAAGCAGCCTCAGCATCTTTTTCAGCACTCATTTTAACACTTTACAGTCAATGTACACTTTTACATAATAATAAAAAATATAGGTAATCAACATTCAGAAATTTAAACCGATTTATTGTGTGTTAATTTAGAATTGCGACCGAGCACTATTAGTACGAAAACAAACATACACTTTGGGTATTTATTTTTAACCAAACAATGTTATCTTAATACATTTTGAATTGTTGTTAAAACTGAGATATTTAAATCACACAATCACAATTTTGTAACTATATATTTTTCCATCTCCCCTTTTATATTTTGGTGAAAATTAAGCAACACTTAATTATTTTCAAGGAAAATGTCTTGCAGACTTATCACTGTGCCCGAGTCTATATTATTGTTACTTATTATCATTTTAAGTGTCCCAAATCAAAAAATTGAGATGATAATAATTACAAGGGAGACATGAAAAGATATAAAAATTATACTTTTTTGCGTCATGCTTTGTAAGTAAACTAATGGGTACTAAAATTAAAAACTTGGTGAATATTTGACACGTTCCTACGTTATCGTGACTTTTGTATGGGCTGCATAATTGAATTAATATTCATTATTTTCTACAATTATTATTAAGGAAGATGAACCAATTTTTAGAAGACTGCATTTATAGTTGTAGTTTTTCGACCTTTTCCAAAAAAAACAAATCTAGATATTCTTGATTTTTAATCAATAAGGTTACGCAAAAATAATCCGCTAATTATATGTATGTGTGCCATGGGTCCACAGATGATGGTATTCTCCTTTTAGAAAAGGTAGATATACCTTGACTGCGGCAAGGGCAAGGTTAGTTAAATTTAAAATTAATTAATCATGGTATTCAATCTCTAATGCAAAATAAATTGAAGTTGGATGGTTTTTAATCCTACTATTATTGTATAGTTTATAGTTTTTAGAACTCCACATGCACTTAATAAATTTTCGCAACGTCCCATGCACTTCCTGCATTGTATTAGAAATGAATTATTGAAGGCTAGTTAGTCGATAAAAAGATAATAAATCTGTTCATGTGGTAAACTGAATTTTTCCATAAGGTTTTTGCTGACAATGATTATGTTGAGAGTTGTTTCTTCAGAGTTTGTTGTTGAGTCAGTATTGGTGCTGACAATGTATAGTGGAATCAAAGTTGATAATATAACGTTTTCTGGAAAAGTCAGCACTTTATTGGATGTGTAAAGAAGTTTTGATGCTAAAAATGCTGTCGAGAAAAATACGGTTCAGTCCACGTACTATGAGTTTGTTTTCGTGACATTTAAAGGTTTATATAGTCTGAGGGTCAAGTTTAAAATACTGTTTATACGGAATGATTTATAGAAGATGTCAATGTGACGATACCCTATTCAAAGTTCAGCAGCATTTAGAGAAAATATCTTGGATATAAGCATTTGGCCATCTATGATCCTACAAGACTTTCTTTCATTAAAAGGAAAAGTTATTTTGACTTTGACTTATTTTGAGGATAATTAACAATATGGAGACAAAAGAATTACATTTATTTATCAGTAAAAGATGATTCGCTTTATAGTTGCACCGCCGCCTATTCGTAAATATTTCCTAATGTGACTAATTAATTCCAGAGAGCTTTGTTTGTTTAAAATACCGAGCTAACGCGTTTCGGTGTTTAGTTAGTATGTATTGGCACTCTCGGCTGTTTTGTTCCGCGTATATTTTTTTTAGTTTGCAAAACGACGCCTGAAAACGTGCTGAAAATTTTGAGTTTTGTGTGCTACGTCATTTATATATTTCGTCTCGGAGAAAATTTAAAGGTACATTTTGTTTTATTTCATGCAATTTGGAAACGGTGTACTTATTTTTTGGGATAGGATCTCCATATATCTGAGGGTTAAATTGATCGATAATAGCTTTGTCTACTTTCATAATCATCCATCAAAAAATATAGGTAGACCAAGCTATTTGGAAATCAAAATTTCAAACATTTCTGAGATCTTGAAAATCGTAACTTTTTCCCTTGTGATTTAACACCCTTTGTGGCCAACTCAATATTTCATTATTGTTTGCTGTTTTCCTCTAGAAACTAAATTTTAAACCAATCTAGACTATTACTTACCTATAACTTTTAGTTTATTTATAGATTATGAACAATACTAATAAGACTTTGCTAATACATAATAACAATCATAATTTGCCGGCAAAATTATCGCAGCATTTTTTTTGAAAAATCAATTATCACTTTATTATGAGCCAGAGTACATTATTGAACCTTATAGGACTGAAATTCAACAAGGAGATGCCTAAAAATCCTAGACTTCAACTAAAATTTGAATTAAAAATTCTCCAAAATCCTATTCCCGGCTTTGATGCTCAACAAGAAAGGCAAATCTTAGAATTTGGACCTAATAGAGCTGTATTCTCAGCTCTCCTGAAGCGAAATTTGAAAATAACTCCGATTACTGATCATTCTAGAGTTAAAATTGAGCTAGAGGACTCGTTCAACTGAAATTCAACAACAGAAACTTTAAATTCTACCTACTCCATTATCGAGCCAAAATTATTATTCTTAGAAATGCCGAAAAATCCATAGCCATAGCCAGAAAAATATAGAAATCCGATAAAATTGATTCACAGGACATTTGACAGCTGGAATTTACCAAAAGAAGCTTCTAAACCTTAAAATCTGCTCTCCTAAAAGTGAAATTTAAATTAGAGATGCATGAAAATCTTATTCCTGGCCCTAGAAAACAAGAGAAATGTAGAAATCTTATTTTGGATCATATTCCAGACTAGACTCTTGATTTTTCTCGATTTTCGATTTTTGGCTCTTGAATTTTTCCAGATTCTTAAATGTTCCTTATTTCTCTATTGTGTTATCTTGATTTTTTTTCATTTGCTGGTCCTGTAATAAGTTTTGTGATTCCATTATTCCTGACTCATTTCCCTCAATCCTTTTTTTTAAGCTCTTGAACATCATTATTGTTCCTAGCTCTCAAATTTTTCAAATTTTGCTATGCCAGGCCTTTGGGGTTTTTTCTATATTTTCAATGGCCTAGAATAGACAGAAAAGTTAAGGAAAAAAAGAGAAAAATGAAGAGGAAAAAATTATAAAATAAAAGCTTCCGTGTATATTCACTAAATTTGACACACTCTATTTCGATTAGTGAAGTCAAAAATTGAAAAAATTCAGATTATTTTTTATAATAGAATTAGCTTAGAAATATACTTAATTTCTTAAAGTTTTTAGAACTTGATGAAAAAATAGGGCGGAAAAATTGAAAATTTACAAAATTTCTTCTTTTTTCCTGAGAAGGATTCCATCTCTAGAGAACTACAACTCCAAATAAGTTGAAATGTTCAGGCTTTGTAGTTTTCAAGAGAATAAGGTTTATTACTAATCAAAGTGGTTCGAACTCTTAATTTTACTTTTAGGAAAATCTTTTTCACCTACCTCTATGTCTATGAAATTCCTTAAAATCTTATAACTAGCTGTTGATTGCAACGAGAAATTTCTTTTTTATTATATAGGTATACCTACCTTATGATTTAGATTTTGGAAAACTTTGACAGGTCATAACTTTTTTTTCTATGATAGATAGAAAGCTGAAACTTTCACTGAATTTTATCCCTTTTAAACGACTACAATCCCTGAAAATTTCAGCTCATTTGCACTTATAGTTCCTGAGATAAAATCGTGTTAAGCAATTTGGGGTGGTTTATCAATTTTTCAATTTTTCTGAGTGCCTTTTTTCATAGATTTCGGCTTCAAATCTGAGAATAATTTAGTGTATGGAGTTTGGGGTATATTGATTGAACATTAGGATACAAAATCTCGACAAAAAAAATTTTGAAATTTCATCGTTTTAGTAAGAAGGTACCTACCTTATGATTTAGATTTTGGAAAACTTTGAAAGGTCGTAACTTTTTTTCTATTATACATGGAAAGCTGAAACTTTCACTGAATTTCATCCCTTTTAAAGGACTACAATCCCTGAAAATTTCAGCTCATTTGCACTTATAGTTCCTGAGATAAAATCGTGTTAAGCAATTTGGGGTGGTTTATCAATTTTTCAATTTTTCTGAGTGCCTTTTTTCATAGATTTCGGCTTCAAATCTGAGAATAATTTAGTGTATAGAGTTTGGGGTATGTTGATTGACCATTAGGATACAAAATCTCGACAAAAAAAAATTTGAAATTTCATCGTTTTAATACGAAGGTACCTACCTTATGATTTAGATTTTGGAAAACTTTGAAAGGTCGTAACTTTTTTTCTATTATACATGGAAAGCTGAAACTTTCACTGAATTTCATCCCTTTCAAAGGACTACAATCCCTGAAAATTTCAGCTCATTTGCACTTATAGTTCCTGAGATAAAATCGTGTTAAGCAATTTGGGGTGGTTTATCAATTTTTCAATTTTTCTGAGTGCCTTTTTTCATAGATTTCGGCTTCAAATCTGAGAATAATTTAGTGTATAGAGTTTGGGGTATGTTGATTGACCATTAGGATACAAAATCTCGACAAAAAAAATTTGAAATTTCATGGTTTTAGTACGAAGGTAGTGAAGGTACCTACCTTATGATTTAGATTTTGGAAAATTTTGAAAGGTCATAACTTTTTTTCTATTATAGATAGAAAGCTGAAACTTTCACTGAATTTTATCCCTTTCAAAGGACTACAATCCCTGAAAATTTCAGCTCATTTGCACTTATAGTTCCTGAGATAAAATCATGTTAAGCAATTTGGGGTGGTTTATCAATTTTTCAATTTTTCTGAGTGCCTTTTTTCATAGATTTCGGCTTCAAATCTGAGAATAATTTAGTGTATGGAGTTTGGGGTATATGGATTGAACATTAGGATACAAAATCTCGACAAAAAAAATTTTGAAATTTCATCGTTTTAGTAAGAACCTTATGATTTAGATTTTGGAAAACTTTGAAAGGTCGTAACTTTTTTTCTATTATACATGGAAAGCTGAAACTTTCACTGAATTTCATCCCTTTCAAAGGACTACAATCCCTGAAAATTTCAGCTCATTTGCACTTATAGTTCCTGAGATAAAATCGTGTTAAGCAATTTGGGGTGGTTTATCAATTTTTCAATTTTTCTGAGTGCCTTTTTTCATAGATTTCGGCTTCAAATCTGAGAATAATTTAGTGTATAGAGTTTGGGGTATGTTGATTGACCATTAGGATACAAAATCTCGACAAAAAAAAATTTGGAATTTCATGGTTTTAGTACGAAGGTACCTACCTTATGATTTAGATTTTGGAAAACTTTGAAAGGTCGTAACTTTTTTTCTATTATACATGGAAAGCTGAAACTTTCACTGAATTTCATCCCTTTCAAAGGACTACAATCCCTGAAAATTTCAGCTCATTTGCACTTATAGTTCCTGAGATAAAATCGTGTTAAGCAATTTGGGGTGGTTTATCAATTTTTCAATTTTTCTGAGTGCCTTTTTTCATAGATTTCGGCTTCAAATCTGAGAATAATTTAGTGTATGGAGTTTGGGGTATATTGATTGAACATTAGGATACAAAATCTCGACAAAAAAAATTTTGAAATTTCATCGTTTTAGTAAGAACCTTATGATTTAGATTTTGGAAAACTTTGAAAGGTCGTAACTTTTTTTCTATTATACATGGAAAGCTGAAACTTTCACTGAATTTCATCCCTTTCAAAGGACTACAATCCCTGAAAATTTCAGCTCATTTGCACTTATAGTTCCTGAGATAAAATCGTGTTAAGCAATTTGGGGTGGTTTATCAATTTTTAAATTTTTCTGAGTGCCTTTTTTCATAGATTTCGGCTTCAAATCTGAGAATAATTTAGTGTATAGAGTTTGGGGTATGTTGATTGACCATTAGGGTACAAAATCTCGACAAAAAAAAATTTGGAATTTCATGGTTTTAGTACGAAGGTACCTACCTTATGATTTAGATTTTGGAAAACTTTGAAAGGTCATAACTTTTTTTCTATTATAGATAGAAAGCTGAAACTTTCACTGAATTTTATCCCTTTCAAAGGACTACAATCCCTGAAAATTTCAGCTCATTTGCACTCATAGTTCCTGAGATAAAATCGTGTTAAGCAATTTGGGGTGGTTTATCAATTTTTAAATTTTT